GGGGCAAAGGTCACCCTTGCTGTGAACTGGCAAAGAATTTGGCTGTGTTGTGTCCATGCCCTAGGACTTTGTGGAAGTTGGAACTTAAGAGTTGTGAACCAGAGTGTTTGGTGGACGAAATTTCTAAGCAGCAAAGCATTAAGGAAGCTGCATGGCTACTTGTAACAGCCTACTCTGAGTTATGGTGGCAAAGGCATGACAAAGCCAGAATTTAAATGGGAAACAGATTGTAAAGATTTGGAAAATTTGCAGCCTGGCCACGTGGTAGAGAAGCAGAGAGCATTTTCAGAAGGAAAATTCAATGGTACTAAGAAGATTAACACAAAAGAATGGGATTATCAAGAGAAGGAGAAAAAGGCCCTGAAGGCATTGCAGAAGGCTCTGGGACCACCTCTTCCATTTCAGGCCCAAAGATCTAGGGAGACAAAATGGTCTTGGGGAACTGGCTTGAGGAGCCCTCCATGGGCTTACTGCTCAGGGCCACCTTGGTAAACTGCTTCTAGCACCAGCACCCTGGCTTCTTTGGCTGCTCCAGCTGTGGCTAAATGGGCCCCAGGTGTGGCTGGACCCACAGCTTTGGAAAATACAAGCCAGAAGACTTGGTGGAGTCAAATTTATTTAATTAAAATAAACACTGAAAGTGAATACATGGTTTATGTTGGGTTTTTGTTATTCATATAAACAGCTTTCAGATTTACTAGTCTATCAGTTCTGTCATTTTTACCCTCTCCTGATAATTTGATTTCATTCTTTTGTGTTTAGTATGTCCGTTCTCCTGTGAATCTTAGGTTTGTTATTTTCTCACCTTCTTATGATGAATAAGTGGTTTTAGAATATTTTGACATTTATTGTTTAATAATGACATATAAGGGTGTGAATTTGCTTTAGAAAAGAAATTTTAGGGCCGGCCCGGTGGCGCACTGTAGCAGTGCGCCGCTTGGGAGCTGGTGGTGCACTGTAGCAGTGCGCCGCTTGGGAGCGCGGTGGCGCTCCCGCCGAGAGTTCAGATCCCACATACAGACCGGTTCCCGCTCACTGGCTGAGCGAGGTGCGGGTGCGACACGGAGGGTTGCGATCCCGTTGCCGGTCCTGGTCCAGTACGGGCGCGACACTGAGGGTTGCAATCCGTTGCCGGACACGAAAAAAGACAAAAAGGAAAAAAAGAAAAAAAGAAAAGAAATTTTAAGGGCTGGCCCATGGCTCACTTGGGATAATGTGGTGCTGATAACACCAAGGCTACGGGTTTGGATCCCTATATAGGGATGGCTGGGTCACTCACTTGGGAGAGCATGGTGCTGACAACACCAAGTCAAGGGTTAAGATCCCCTTATTGGTCATCTTTTAAGAAAAAAAAAACCAGAAAATTTGACCTTCATCTGCTTTGTTTTAGCAATTTGACTATGATGGACTTTAGTATGATTTTATCCTTTTCTTTTTTATTCCCAGTTGGGGCTTGGTGACCTAATTGGGGTCCTTTAATCTGTGGATTGATATATTATACCCATTTTGGAAAATCCTCAGCAATTACACCTCCAGTGATGGCTTCTGCCCCCTTTTCTCTTCCCTCTGTCCCCCTGAGTCCAATTACCCATATTCAGTTGTAATGAGGCTCATCCACCTCTGGTTCTTCCCTCTTCCTCAGGGAAGGTCCTTCAGGGATTTGGATAGAAATTTTCAATCATGAAAGACTGACAAATCCACTTGTGACCTTTAGAGGTCTCTGCTTGCTTCCTTAGCACTCACATCCTTTAAAATGTGCCAAAAATCTTGAGGAACCAGTCAACAGCCCTGTCCCTCTGGGGAAATATAATCTCCCAAGCACTTTGAGATTCAGGAAGAATTTACTCTTTTAGGAAACCTTGGCCTGGCTCCTCAATCCTCTATGTTCATGTGCCGAACATACAGAATGTCTTGTAGAAAACACCAACCACATTGTGAGACAATATGTGCTGTTTCCCTGGGTTCAGGTTCCCAGACATGTCTGGGTTCCCAGCCACTCCTCAAGGTCTCAGGCCCCTCCTTAAGGCCCTCCCCTAGAGGAAATCTACTGTTGACAGTTAGACCTATTTTCAGCACCAACTCAGGAAAATGAGACCACAAAGGGCTGGCTTATGCAAATCAAATGTCTGGGCATGTTCAGTAGAGAGGGGTTATGTAACCCTGGTAGCTGAATGACCTTCCACTACAGGAGCTAGAGAGCACAGAATATTCTCAAATATGGTTCCTGTGATAGGATTTGACCAGTGAGCATGCTCCAGGAAGAAAACAGCTGAGCATGTGGAAGACTATGTTACACAACTGGGAACCACACTTTTTATCAAATGTTCATCAGACAGTTAAACTATAAAAGCCAGATCCCAGTAGAAGGTGGGGCTGCTGCTCACTCTCCTGGAGGCAGCCTGCACTCGGCCTGTGGAGTGTGTATTTCTCTTTGTATCAAACTTACCTTCAGCAAGTGGCTGCTCACTTTCTTGAGCCAGCCTGCACTCAGTACTGAACGTTAAGTGTGCATTTCTTTTGTGTTAAACCTGGTGGGGGCCCTGCCCAGTCTCTGGAGCTAGGCCACACTCATTCTCTCAAATCTGTCTCTCTTCATTATTACATTAAACCTGTTCTTACTTTGTCCTGACTCCACTCTTGAATTCTTTCCTGTGGCGGAGTCAAGAACCCAGTTAAGAGGATGGGGTGGCTTCAGACCGACTACTGGGAACCCCCAGACATCAGTCAGTGCTTCTCCAATTGTGTGATCTCTCACACCAGCACCAACCATGTGACCAACAAATACTTCCCTGGTTTCTCTGTCCCCCACGTGGGTCAAGTGTGATCATCAGTCCCTACTGAGAATTAACAAAAATCCTGCCCTAGAATTCTCTTTATGAAATTCAAGTTCATCTAATTGTTTTCACAATTCTGTTATGCCTTCAAAAATAGGATTTTTACAGTTTATCTGGCTTTTTCCTAGTCATTTTGTTGAGCATTGGGCTGTTGCAACATATATATCCTAATGAGAAGCTGAAGTCATGGCACATTTATTTTTTAACAGGCCACACAATTCACCCATTTGAAGTGTGTGATTCAACGGATTTTAGTACACTCAGAGTTTTGCAATCATCACAGCAATTGTAGAACACTTCATTACTCCAAAACTAAATCCCTTAGCCATCGTCCCCAATTATTCCATCCCCTCCGACCCTAGGCAACCATTAACCTACTTTATTTTCCTACAAATATCCTTATTTCAGACATTTAATAAAAAGGGTATCATACATTATGGGGTCCTTTGTGACTGGCCTCTTTCACTCAGCATGTTTTCAAGGTTCATGTGACACTTGGCTGGTTCCACCTAAAAAATCCTACTTGTATAAACTTTATTATTTTATTGTTGTGCCTACTCCCTGGTCGCTGGGGGTTGGACGGAGCTGACTGGGCTGGTTTTGATAACTTGCATGAACTTCAGTTGAACACACATCCAACCTTGTTAGAATGTTTTATTCAGTCCCATAAACCTTCACTAAACTACACAGAGCTAAAATTATACAAAAGATTGCAAAACACAAACTACTCTGGGAAATTTCATCTGATTGAATTTTAAGAAGTTGGTGGGCAGAGTCCAGCTCCAACACTCACGATAAAGACTGAAGCCCAGGACTCTGGTTTCTGGAAATAATGCAGACCCCTCCCTACAGCGGGGCAAGGAGCAAACGTGCATCCAGGAAGCACCTATTTGTTTCCCCCCCAAAACCTTTCTGGTGACAGTGCACGGACAGAGGCCTCGGACGCCTCTGGTACTATAACGGCAGCGCAGACGCTGGACTGGACACTCGATGGGCGTCCGGGAGGCTCGTCTCACAGCAGCTGGCGTGTGGATGGGGGCTCCGGGCCCGCTCAAGTGCGGCCCCCTCGGCAGAGCTCGAGGTCCCCTGCGGGGACCCAGCCTTCCTTACTAGAGCACTCCCACCTCTCCTCGTCTGCCCGGGGAAGCCGCTCGCTGGGCCCCATGCCGGTTTTCACAGCTCCTTTCATAAAAAGGCTACCAAGGGCTCTAGACGTGAGCACCAGGCCGAAGGAGGCGGCCGAGGCCTCTGAGGACCTGCCAGCGAGCTCCCGCCTTGCCCGTCCGCAGTCATCGGGACACAGAGGCAAGGCCGGGCTGCGTCGAGTCAGGACACCGCGGGCTTCATCCAGCCAAGCGCCGGCCCAGTCCCACGGGGACCAGACCGGGGAGGCGGGCTGAC